GATTGCTCTTGTTTCACTCTGTGCAATGTGGATCATCTCTAACTTTCATTCAATCTCACCTCCCACCTTATTCTTCAAAGCATTTGTCTTACGAGCACGCCACTAACCCGCCGACAATCGTACAATTCTCGGCGGGTTTTCAAACATGCTCGTAAGACAAAAGACGTACAGTAGAAACAGTCCCACGCCTTCCATACACCTGCCGATTATCGTACGATCGCGGGATTTCCCTCGCTTATCGTACGATAATCGGCAGGTGTATGGGCACCTTAAGACTGGGAGGGGGGAACAAAAAACTTAAAGTGACACTAAACTCAGGAGTTAAATCTAAAAAGTACCTGAACCATTAACACTACTGGACCTTATTTGTGTATCACTCGGCTGCAGATCCTCCAATCATCTCTGAATTGGTGCTGACACTGTCCTTCCTTCTGGAGGGGGGCTACATTTGTTCCCCATGGTCGCTGTGTGTTTTGTAAAGTAGTCACCGCTCCAAGCTCACTCCCGGGATGGACTACAATCACAATACAAATTAGTAAACTAAACATGAGATTGTAGTCCATCACAGGAGTGAGCTTGGAGCGGTGACTAATTTACAACACACACAGGGACCATGGGGAACAAATGTAGCCCCCCTCCAGAAGGAAGGACAGTGTCAGCACCAATTCAGAGATGATTGGAGGATCTACAGCCGAGTGAAACACAAATAAGATACATTTTTGTTAATAGTTAAGGTACCTAAATGTATTTTTAGGTTTTAACTCCTAAGTTTAGCGTCACTTTGAGGGGAGGCTTCAATGGATGATTTGGGGTCAAGTCTTCTGTAAATTTTTGTGTTTCATGTTATATTTTCCCAAATATTTAGTTTAAATAGAACTTCTAATTCTATCCACCACAAGATTCTTTCTGAGGAAGGACTACTATATGAACTTTCCATATCTTATTAGAATGATTATTTAACAAACGTATGTCCAGCACAGGGGAAGGGCCCGGCCCTCAAGAAATGCAATCAAAGCTTCTTTTAAATAATGAAATCTACCCTTCCGTGCCCTGCTCTGCTGCACCAACACACTTGCTACCGATTATGAACAGAGAAATGCGCAGTTAAGTTATAGCGGTCAGCGAGTATGACGGGATGAGGCAGATACACAGCGGACACAGGATAGTAGTAGTCAAGGCGGATGAAACAGACGCTCATTGTTTTGGGATAGGAAAAAACTATCCCCTTAATAAAAGGTGATCAGCGCTTCATCAGGGTGTCCGACAGAAGTGCAGGTACAAGTCACGGTAAATAGAAAATCTGAAGCGTATTTATTTTACAATATACACAGGAGAGTCCTCCGAGGACCAGTTTTCACAGCGAGAATGAAGATTCTCAGATTTTGACCAAAAGGATGTTCTCGTCAAACAAATACGGGCCGCCATAGTGCAAAGTTCCCTGCTTCTGAATCCTCGTCTCGCCGCCGTCACACGTTGTCCAAGAGTCTTTTAAAGTTTTCTAGCTCCTTGACACTCGTAGAAATCCTGCGGGGAGGAAGGAGGAGATGGTTGATGATTGGGAGCATACATCAAAGTGAACCTGTCAGCCTCATAAAATGGCAATGTGATAAACCACAAAAATAACGTTTTCATAGGTTATGTGTAAAGAGACCCTGTCACTGTGCCTGTTCTGAGAAGAGCAGATAACGTCCTACTTTCAGTTTTGCTCTGCACCCACATCATTGTACTAGTCAGTCTTGTACACACACGCCATAGCTAGTACAATTGCAGATTGTAATTGTGTACAGCAAGCTTTTAGAAAGGTTCCTAAAAGCTTGCTGTATACAATTACAACCTGAATAGTTCAGGTTCACACCAAAAACTACAGTAATGTACCCCCTTACCCGGCTTCAGCATTTCATGCTATGCAGCACCCGGGGGTTGTAGCCCAAAACAAATTCTATAGAAAATGGCCAAATTTGCAACACGCAAGACACTTTGTTCTGGAAAACATTCGCCCGGACTGACCTTCCAAAAGCGTTGAGAAGGGCCACGATTTCCTGTCGCTTCAAATGGAAGCCGTAGGATGGCCCGCTTTCTGGCATGTTCTGAATTTGTTTTTCGGAGAACAGAATTTTCAGTGCCGTTCCCAATCCCTGAGTCTGCAGGAGATACAACAATCACTAGAGGTTATATAGCAATAGAGATACAGGCCAAACACAAAGACGTGCACACTGCATTTCCTTTTAAAGGTCAAACTCCTAAAATTGTGTCTACATTGCCTATAGCAACCAAGAGGATCCCCATCTGTCCTTTTCCTACAGCTAGTAAGAAAGTGGTTGGTTACTGTAGCCAACACTGTTATATGTACGTATAAGATTACAAATAGCTGACCAAAGACACGAGAGGCGACGTGTTGGTGGAGTGCTGGAATCCAGAAGTCCCTGGAATCGTCTAGAGCAGCGTTTCTAAACCATTTGAAGTTATGACACCCTTTAAAAGTATGCAAAATTTGAAAGGCACCCCAGTATAATATGTAAAAAAAAAAATATACATATATACATATACACACACATACATTATACACACACACCAAAAAACACACACATGGCCCCTCCATAATAAATACCAGACTCATATCCAAGATAGGCATCTGGTATGAATTTTAAGGGGAGACTCCATGTAAAAAAAGACAAAAAAAAAAATAGGATTCCCTCCTTCACATCAGAGCCCCCACTTTCACATCAGAAAAAAAAAAAAAATCACATTTCACGTCAGAAATCCCCTCCTTTCATATCAGGAGTCCCCCTCTTTCACATGAGAGGCATGACACTGTATACGAATTGAGGCACCCCTGAGGAAACCTGAAGGCACCCTGGTTGAGAAACGCTGGTCCAGAGTACAATGAATGGCTGAGAACACAAAACCTGAATGAGTCCAGTAAGATTTTATTTAAAATCACAAAAAGATCAAAATTCCAATGTGTTTTGGGGGCTTAACCCCCCACACACTTTCATCATTACATTTACAAAGATACTGCACAATAGTGCCCAGACTGACAGCCTGACTAGCTGCGAGTCTTGTCATCTGAAGCATTGTCTTCCTATCCCTTGACTTTGCAACTATTCTCCTGAATCTTGGTAAATTTAGTGTCAGCTTTCCAGCCCTGATAAAGGGGGGTTTTCAGCCCCCAAAAGGCATTGGCTTTTTGACCTCTTAAAAAAAAAAAAAAAAAAACCTTACTGGACTTCACATTTTGCGGCACTCTCATCCTTTTACATGTAATCCAACACAAGCTGCTATTTTCCAAAATGTGCACAACTTTAATTGCAATGTTGGCAGAAGACACACCATGTGATCAACCACTATTATGTGATGATTTGGTCATAAAGGTTCAGTCTCTAAAGTTTATTAGGACAGTTTATTGGGTAACCGTGGCCTATGCACCCACCATTGGTACACAGTGGTCACTAGGACAGGAAGTGAGAAGAAACCCAGAGTACAGACATGAGAAAAGTCCTAACCCCCCCTTGTTTAAAACTAACAGGTTTTGGCCTGGAGTTACACTCTAACCATCATTAGCCAAATATTTCCCAGGCTCCTTACCTGCAGTTTTCCCCAAAGGCGACATTTAAAGCAGCCAACGCAGTCCATAATCCTGGAGATATTCCTAAAGTGATGTCGGAATTCATCCTATATAAATAAAAGGTGTAAGTAATGAGTAAAAAAGGTCAAGTAAAATCAAACATGGCAAAACTATCACTTTTAATCTCCCAAAGTGGACATGTGTCCATACAAAGCAGGCCAACAGTTTCCCTTTAATGTCAGTGCTATAGGACCTTGTCCCAGCGCCGTACTTGGCTTTTGCTCCCCTGCTGCTTCATTTAGCCACTGCAAAGCCAAAGGAATGTTTTGGGAAACCTGACATCACTGGAATCGTAGCTTACAATCTTACACAGTGTTATGGATTGATTGGCTCAGCGCAGTCACATGGAGTGAGCCACACGTTCCTCCATACCCACACGTCTCGGCAAGTATACACTGGATGCATATGGGGGATTAAAGTAAAACTGTTGCTTTGCCCTAAATGAGCAAAAGAGAACCAGACTGCAGAATAAGTCTGATGCTCCTCCCCCCTCCCTCCAGGAGCTTTTGCCATAAGGTGCAAGTATGCTTATCATTATGGCACTCTGACTCTGCAAAGTGCGCCCCTCCGGCTATGCAACAGCCGTGATTGTCCTCATCACCCTGCATCTTTGCCCAGGATGACGTAACTTCTGCGCATGCACGCACGATTTCATGACGTCATCCCACCAGCAAGACATGCCGAGACGAAGGCCTCATTCACACCAGCCGTGTCAAACCTGTGTTTATATGCATTTAAAAGGAGAACTATGAGGAGAGTGCTTTTCACTCACCTCATAGTTCTAGCCGACCTGTGACAATGAGACTGTCACAGGTCGGCTCAGTAGATCGGGAGGTGAGCGAACACATACCGGCGTTCGCTCACCTCTCGATCCTGTCACAGCTCTCTGCCGTGACAGGGGAGGGGCTGGATTCCCCCCTCCAATCCTCCAGCGCTGACTGGTGGAACGGACGGGGGAGGGGGCGGGTACAGCTGGCTCTGCCTCTATATAGGCAGAGCCAGCTGTCACTCACACAGCTGGGCGGATCCAGACATAATTGTCGGGATCCGCTCCGGCGTCTCAGTATACCGCGAGCTGTAGCTCCCTATATACTGAGCTTAGGGTGACGGGAGGACGCTAGTTTGTGTCCTCCCGTTACCCTAAGGAGAACTATGGGGAAAAGCCTTAACCCCATAGTTCTCCTTTAAAGCACATTTCTAAACACATTTAAAAGCATGTAACTGATTTTCAATGTTATTCAGAATTTGCGTTTACCTGCATTCAGAGAAAATAGCATTCTGTGCGTCCAAGATCCTATTAGAAACTCTAAAAACGCATGTAAAGGCATCCAAGAATTGCGGCTTCAAGCAGAAACATCTAAATACAGGAAAAAGTGATCTGGGCAGCTTAAAAGTTGTGTATACTTCCCAGATAACTTCCCCTGTGTTTAGAAAAGCCAAGCGTAGGAGAGCCAGTGTGAATGAGGCCTTAGGTAAAAAATCCTGACAGGCATGGAAAAACATTCGTGACACAAGAGACATACAGAATTCTCTTCGGTCAGTAAAGAAGCGCTCAGATTTTTTTTTTTAAATATGCAAAAAAAAACAAAAACCTACTTCAGTTCCACTTTAAAGCAGAAGTAAACTTAAAAAAAACTAAAAACTGCTACAAAATAAGTTTTATTTGGCAGAACAATTTTTTTAATAGCTTATGTACACTGTACGGTGCATGCATCATGCAGTGTACTGCCCCGGGTCCTTCCCTGTAATATGCCATGAATAGAGCAGAGTGCTGAGGACGATGTAATTCCTGTGCAAATGCCTAATGAACAAAGAGAACAATGGGACACCTGGAGGAAGGAAGAGAGGGGATGGCGGCGGTGGACGGAGCAGTGACTGAGCGCCTGGTTATCGGTCAGTGCTGGAGAATGGCACACTGGTAAGGAAGTGTGCCATAATGTGCAAGTGTGCTGTACAAACAAAAACATATCAACTTCAATTCCTCTTTAAAGTGACATTAAAGGATTATTATTTTTTCCCCTCCCCCCATGTTAATGTCAGCACTTACCTTAAATGATGTCTCTAAGCCCTCGTTCACACCTGACCGTTTTGTAGCGCGTTCTACGCTCGACGAACGCCCTACAAAACGCTCAAAAATATAAATCCCATTGTATTCAATGGTCTCGTTCCCACCTTGGCGTATTTCCGCCCGTCCCTAACGCGCTACAAAACGGCCCACGCCTGAAAAGGTACAGGTACTACTTTGGCCCGTTTTGTTGCGCGTTTCCATTGGGATACAGCCAAGTAGCCTTCGGAAACGCGCGACTTTTTACCGCGAATCGCGGTAAAAACGCGCCACAGACGCGCATATGCAATACGCCTAGGTGTGAACGAGACCATCCGATCTTCCTCTTCTTTCCTGATGTTTTCAGCTGTCCCTCCAGCGGTGCGGCGGCTCTCCGATCCAGCGCTGACTCCTCTGTCCTTGCTGGCACTTCCGATCCAGCGGTGTCTGCAGGCGGGTGCACGCGTCCATAGACTTACCTTGCGTCTCTGTTCATCTCCCGGCCGAAAATCCGAACTGCGCATGCGCCCGCCCCATGATGCTTTGCGGCCGCCCCAACAGTTTCGGAATCTTGGGCGGGAGCGCGCAGCAAAAAACAGGGTAAGTTTAAACCGGTTAAAGCGTTTTTTTTTACTTTTTGCCTACATCTACTACTTGATAGCCGTAGATACAGGCAACAAAAACGGAGGGTTTAGAACCCCTTTAAGTTCCATCATTTGTATCTCATACAACAGGAGATCATCACAGAGTTTCAACAAAATTGTCCTCAAAACCACAAAGCTCCAGAAAGCCCCAATCCTCACACAGACTCCAATATACATGTTATTGTTTGTTACCTTTAAACGGTCAGCTAGCTTCTTATCACCGGCAAAAAGTGAATTTTCATCGAAGTGCAGGGGAAAATCTCTATAACATGGAACAGAAAGAAGTATATAAAACCTGGTCAGTAATAACATTTACAAGGAACAGAATTTTAGATGATGCCTTTAGGCTCAATTTACAAAAGCTTGAACACAAGGATGAGAATATTTATTTTAGCCGTGTGACTAAACTTTCTGTTTGGTTTGTAAATGCAACTTTTACATCTCATTAGACTCAGCCGTGGGACTGTCACCATTATGAAAATAAGGATCCTTATCCGGGCGTGCTAGCTTTGTCAATCGCGTAATGTGCCAACATCCTACAGTCATGTTAAAGCAGGGATGTCCAAACTGCGGCCCTCCAGCTGTGGTGGAACTACGAATCCCATGAGGCTTTGCAAGATTCTCACAGCCACAGACATGACTCCCGGAGAGAGATGCTTCATGGGATTTGTAGTTTCACCACAGCTGGAGGGCCGGAGTTTGGACATCCCTGTACAGTTAAAGGGTCATGTCCCTGAAAATTATTTCCATTATGGGTGAACACTGAGCTGCAGCCATCACATTTAAAGCTGGCCATACACTGTTATATGTTTCGCAATCAGCTTACGGGCTGATCGCAAAAAACAGAACGGATTCCCCCAATTTCCTGCTGTCACAATGCTTGCTGAGTGGCTGCTGTCACTGTTCACCTGAAAATGTTCCATCTCACTCCTTCAATTTTCTGATTAAAGAATGTCAGATACAAGGGTGCCGACAGGGGCACCCATTGTACAGATTTCGGCTGGATGATGGCCAGCTTAAGGCTGGTAAACTGCAATATATTATCTTTTTTTTTTTCTTGGGTTTAGTTACACCAGGGATAGATAATCTCGGCACTCCAGCTGTGGTGGAACTACAAATCCCATGAGACATTGCCAGACTGACAGTCACAGACAAGACTCCCAGAGGCTAGGCATGATGACATTTGTTGTTTCACCACAGCTGGATTGCGGAGGTTGCCTACCACTGAGGTACACCAACTACTGCAAGCCTTTATCCTGAATCATTATTTTATTGCCACTTTGAGGTCTCCTCAATTGACACTCCTATGAGCCTCACGATATTGCCTCTCGCTCAGAGTGTGATGCTTCAGAGTGGCACGGACTGAGTGCAGTGCTATATGGGGCCAAAGGGGTCATCGTGATGCTCTGCACTCAAGTTACGTCCTCAAATGCCAAGCATCATAGACCTCTTGTAGCGGAGAGAGATTACTGTGGGGCAGAGCTGTTCATTTTTGCAGCCAGAGCTGCATTTTGTTTTGCTGAAAATAAAAAGAACCCAAAGTTGGGCTTTAAAGCACGTTTCTAAGCTCTGTGGCCCTTCTTTATAAAACATGCCATTGACCAGCACAACTCTTACTTGGTATCTCGCAGAATGTCGAGCAGCAGCTTTTTTGTCTCCAGGTCTTTTGTTTCATTTCCAGTGTACAGCAGAAAAGATTGTCGCTCAAAGAATGGCAGAACCTTGGAGATGGCTCTCAGCTCGATCAGATATAAGAAGTACAGGTTCTTCAGTCGCCGCGGCCCTTCGTTCTGGGTTTGCGTGCCGTCAAAGCGTGCCTGAAACTCTGTCACGTTATGTGCCCAGATCTTACTCATCCAGGTGTCTGCAGAAGGAAAGGAAAATTGGCAACTTTCAGTGAAATCACATACAGTCAAACCTGGAAAAAAAATGATCCCCAACATGGATCACTCATGAAAGAAATGATCCATCTTTTTATAAATGGGGGGAAAAAGGTCTATTTAACCATTCCTAACTTTTATATTAGGTAACAAAATAGCTCAGACATTTGGTCACTGAGCTTCTTCTTCAGCAGATAGGTCAGTCCAGTCTGACCCTGATCCTTCCCTTCAGCAGAGTTCATGAAACCGAATGTTGTGGCCTCTGGTGATTTGCCTGCACTGGAGGGAAACCAGAGCAGCAAAAATATTACAGCTCCTCCATTACTCTCTCCCATAAAGGCAATAGGTTAGAAGAGACATTGTCTCTTTGCCTACTCAGGGGAAGGGGGCCCCGTCTGTGAAAAGGCCTCCCTGACCCGCGGAGACTCACCTTTCCAGTGTTCGCACCCCTTCCTTTCTCTGTTGCAATCTCCATCATAGCTGGTAGAGTTTAAAGATGACAGGAATGGCCGCTAGCCCCAGGCATTGTCACATGGGTGGAGGTAACATGCATACCCCCATACCTAAAAGCACTGAGTATTGTGCAGAGGTATAAACAGAAGAATTTGGGGGTGGGTGGGGGGGCTTTTTACAAACATGGAGAGTCTCTTTAAAGTATATTAAAGCTAAAAATGTTTTTAGAATTGTAGGTAGAGTAGGGGATGGTTCAACTTAAAACCCATGTCCCTCCCCTCTTAGTTAAACCAGCTAAACCTCCAATGGAGAATGGCAGGCTGCATACAAGTGATTTTGGCGACATCACTGAGATCATTTGTACAAAACAAGCGGCGGCTTCCCCGCTGTACATTTAGCTCTGCTTGCCCAAAGCAGGGAAAAAACAACAAAACCGCCCGGCACTGCATGTCCTGTGCATTGGGAGATAGGAATTCCACCCCATTGCTGCCCCTCTACTCCCTGCTGCCCCAAGGCCGGGCCTTGGTTGGCCTTGTGGGAAATCCAGCCCTGCCAGGGTCATCCATGCCAGACCCTGTGAGCCCAGAGCGTCAAGGGCTGACCCCCTGGGCATGTCACCCGTCCGTTATGTGATGACAGGACAATGCTGCAGACAGCGAATCACATGGATCTGTTCTCTGCAGCATTCAGGACCTGCCCACTGCTAGCGGAAGAAGAGGATGATGCGGACCCATGACCATGATGTCGCATGACCAGATCAAGGCTCCCAAAAAATTATATGTATTCAGATTTTGAAAAAATTACAATGGGGCAGAAAAGAGAACCCGTACATTAAGTCAGCTTCAAAGTAAAAAAAAAAAAGTCTGGGGTAAAAATGAGACAAAATGTGTGTCTAAAAACAGAAATCTATAAAATAGGTTTATAATGCACACACGGGGTTGTTCTCATCACTGACTCGCGCTGCAACAAATTAGGTTTGGTTTCCTGTTTTTACAGCACAAAGATACTTCAGTGTTTTGTAGAGGGACGGACAAGTGGAGGGAAGTAAGATTGGGAAATGGGGGTGGGGGGGTTAACTAAAGTGCTGTATAAGGACACATCATATCGTCTCATCAGTAGTCCTCAAGACACGGAGAGAGATTTATCAAGTGAGTTGCTCTCAAAAATCGAGTGTGGTTGTAGTGCAAATCCGGCTGCCTCTCATCTAGCAATCGATTTACAGTAGAACGTGAATTTACAATCCTGGCCAACTACTAGTTATGCAGACCCGAGACAGAGCCAAGTACATTTAAGATGAGCTCAGTGGTGTGGTTTGTATTGGCACAGTGTTACCGCTGAGTAGCAGAAAGGGGAACGTACGAATCATACTGGAAAGCCCATTTCCAGCTTTGCGGAGGTTTTAAAAAAAAAAAAAAAAAAACATATGCCAACTAAGTACGCTGAGTTTACATGTAGCAGGCATATGCAGTAGCTGTATGAACACAAAAATAAAACTTTACCTTTTTTTGTTAGCCGTCCCCTTCATCTCCTCATGGCTCCTTTTCAATCAGCCGTCTCTGTGCTCTGCAGGCAATCTGTGTAAATTGCAGGCTGCTGTGCACAGTGGGAACTACAATGTTGGGCAAGGAAAACTATATTTCCCACAATGCTTTGCATCCCTTGTGCACAAGCTTCTGTGATAACTGAGCTGTCTCTGAGCTTTCTCCCCCCATTCATTAATATTCATAGTAGCAATGCCCCCTGGATAGTGCCGAGTGACCTGGAGAGGCAGAGCTGGTGTGCAGTGGTCGTGTTCTGATGACTCCCAGGGAGAGCTGCTTTACAACCTGTACAAGACAATCCAACCCCAGTGTCACATTCAGTTTCCTGTGGAGGGAACTCGGAATTTATTTTAAAATCTTAACAACCAATGCAATTTGTATCCAGTTAGGCAGGACCTCGCACCTCATGGTGGTTGGTAGTTCTAAAAGGAGGTTCCTTTTAGAAGTATAGTGTATGGGCAGCTTAACAGACCAGAAAGGTTGGAGGGTGATTTAACCCATGGAAACTAGGGATGCACACATACTTTTCGAGTACCAGTGCAGATACTTGGCATTTTCATGAGAACTACCAGGGTTGCAGCGGTTGCAGCTGGGACCTGGCTCTGGCGCTCCACCACTGTCCTGAAATCATTAGTCTGTATTGTTTTAGAAAAACTGTCACATGACAATAAACAAAAATGTATCAGTACTCGTACTTGTATTTGTAAGTATTCGGCAAGTACCAGTACTCATACTCGCAAAACTGGAATCTGTGCATCTCTTTATTTATATTTATAAAAACAAAATCGTACATTAAAACAGAGATGTACAAATCCCGGGAGCTCCGTGTGCTCCTTACAAATGACAGCTGCCTCCTAATTCTTCTTGTAGCTCAGAAGTATCGGTACATGTATTCGTACTTGTACCGAGTACTGTACTTGGTATCTGTGCAACCCTAATGGACACCCAACAAAAACCCAATAGTGGGTGGAAGTGGCATATGAATTAAAGGACACAACTGCTAATGAAGAACTTTAGGTCAGCAGTATAGCACATCTTTCCTACCTTGCAGTAGGTATCTTGCACTGAGGTGAATATTGATGCTTGCATGCAATCCAGATATCAGCCTGTAGAATGCTCTTTTCTCAACACACAGACCTGCAAGAAGTCATACAGAACAGTTGTAACATATACATAAAATATATAACATGCAATCTGAAATATAAAGGAGGAAGGGTACAGCTTGTTACTTATTACAACAAATCCCTTGTCCGCCCTGTGCTCTAACCATCATATTACAATGTTGTTTTAGTAGATTAGAGGTGTGCTGGGTCTGTCCCCACATTTACTGACAGCCATGGCATTGCTGAGGAGGGTTGGCTCTATGTGGCTTAGTGGTTAGCACTTCTGCCCTGCAGCATGGAGTTTGCATGTTCTCCCAGTGCTTGCCTGGGTTTTCTCCGGGTATTTAGGTTTCTTTAAACACTCCAAATACATGCCGATCGGTTAACTTGCTTCTGTCTAAATGGCCTCTGCCATTTGAGTACGATTGTAAGCTCCTCGAAGGCAAAGACAGATGTACATGTACACTATGTAAAGAGCTGTGTAAATTGTCAGCAGTATATAAAATGCCTCTAATAAATAATAAATGTTCATGAATAGGGATGCACCGATACTAATATCGGTACCAATACAGAGTATTTGGGCGAGTACACATACTAGCCCAAATGCTCCGATACCGGGGCGCAAGGGATCATGGAGCCGGCTTCCCACGGAATCAGGAAGCCGAGTAATGACTCGCCACCCAGCTTCCTTCTTGGCCGGGAAGCCAATGCAGTTTGGCCAACTCCATGCTGATTGGCTGGGAAGCCGACCTCCCGGCCAATCAGCGTCTAGCCTGCCAAATAGCATGGAGCCGGCTTCCCGGCCAATATAAATAAGTCGGTACTCGATACCGGAAAACCGGTATAGGTGCATCCCTAGTGAACAACTATCAAACACAACCTCTTCCCCAGCATGTGCTTCTACTCCTTCATTGTCCAATCACAGGCTGAGGGTGGTGACCAGGGAAGGAGATATTTCTTTTCTAGAGTCAGGGTGCTTGTAACTACAAGAGCAGGACAGAATATACTGTATACAATTTACGCTGAATAAATAAATGAAAATGTTTAATCCTTTAATCATTGACAGAAATTAGATTACATACCTTCCAGCCAGCTATAGAACAGGACCTCTGCAAAGCAAAGAAAAAAAGGTGATGCAAAAATACAAATGCCAACATTCTAATTAAAATGTATGTACAGTCAGGACGTTTTTTTAGTTTTGGATACAGTAGGGAAGAATTAAATGTCTATTGTGTGTACCTTCACTTTCTGTCCCAGAGGGTTTCCCCTCTTAGGCCTCATGCACAAGGTAGTCTGCAGATTACTGCCAAAAGAACCTTATGGCCACTGTGCCCATTCAGATGACAGGGTGACAGCGGCCGCATCTGTAAGTGGCAGTCCTGTGGACTGCCACATACAGATGCGGCCACTGTCACCCTGCCATTAACTTGAATGGGCACAGTGGCCACATCTGTGTGGACACACCTGTAATTCCTACTGCAAGAATCTGCAGTTTCTTGCAGGAGGAATCTCCTGATCGCCGTGCGCATGTGGCCTTAGACAGCTGTACCTGGGAAAGAAGTCCCCAGTGGAAGTTTTACCCTCACCTCTTGTTCTCGTGACAACTCTAAAAGGCTGAATTTCCCGGTGGCAATGGTCACCGGTACAGATAGAGTGCATACTCCCCAGTGGGTACACAAATGGCAATAAAAACTTGAGGATCCAACCCTTCCCCACTCTAGTCTAAGCTGACAAAAAAAGGTTCTGCCTAGAGATAGAAAAGTATTAAAAAAATACAGAAGGATTAAAGTATATCTAAAGCCAAGTGGTGAAGGGTTAGAACTCCTATTAAGTTTATATCGCCATCTATGACCCCACTGGGGAGATTATCTGTGTTTATTTGTCCTGGTGACCATTGTCCTGGGGATTGAAAGTTAGGAAACATATCCAAAACAAGGCTGTCGCAAAAAAAAAAAAAAAAAAAAAAGAAGGGGGGGGGAAATCTTCCAATGAGGACAATAATTCCAAACAGCCGTCCTACTTCCTGTTGTGTTTCAAGGAGAGAAAGTAAAAAGGGAAGACACACACAAAAATGACAGGAGTTTGAACCATTCCCAAACTGTATCCAAAACTAAACCATAAAATATCTTTAGATGTACTACAAAGATTTAAAAAAAAAAAAGGAGTGTAAATAAAGCCACAGATGAAAAAAAGAAAAAATGTAAAATATAAAAAAAAATTAAAAAGTTTGGGATTTAACTCATTTGCTCAAAGTCATTTGCTCAGAAACCCCAGAACAGGTTAGATCAGAACATTCTCTGATTGAGAATGAAACATAATACATAAATATACTAATAAGACCCCCAACATGGTGCAGTTATCTGGTTCTCCTGGAACTACAATATCGGAGCCTGCACTAGAACTTGTAGTACTACTCCTGCTGGGCAGCCATAGCTCAGGAAGTTCTTTTCTAGTGGTAACACTGTATAACATGGCAGGCCAGTAGATGGCACCATTCAAAACATTGTCAGAAGAAGCAGTGGGGAGGAAATGGAATCTCATATCTCTCATTTCATAGAATAACATATATATATATATGTATGTTGCTGGGACAGTGTTTAGGTAAGACTGCCTGCACTTTCCCCCCACATGGTGCTCTATTAATCACTCTAAAAGATCACTATTCCTGGACACGCGATTGATGCCAAAGTGTAGGTGTGACCGAAGCC